TTGATTCATGTTTTTTTATTCAATTCAGCTCTAGCCACAAAATTTTATATTATATATTTATTTATTGTAGAATCCGGTACGAAAGCTGTAAGCGGACTCGTTATAACCGGATTCCACTGTATATATATTTATAGGTATATATTTTTAATTTGTCACGCCCCCACAATGCAGAAATGTCTAATGACGAATGTCAACGGTAACTTAGCAATCTAAACAAAATTTTCCATAATAGGAGTAAATATTCCTAATAGCCAGGCAGACAAGAAGACAGCTTTCAGAACGAACATACGCAACAAAACGGACTATGTATGAGATCAATATCAATTAATTCGTCAAGGTATAAAAACATAAACAAATTTGCTTAAAATACTCGAGAAATTTGGCATTTTCCAAACACAAAGTAATATTTTTTTATCCCCAAATATTTGAAATTTTCTCATAAAACTTATAGTGAAGACGTTGGCCTCAGTTGCTTAATTCTTAATTCTTTAGTTTGAGTTTACTTTATATTTATTCAAATATCAGCTAATATTAGCTGAGATTCAAATTCGGGCTTAATTACTCACATGAAAGACGGGCACATGGAAGAGGCGACCTTGAAAATTGGCATAGACTGTGGCGGCGCTGGGCAGTAGTGGGGTCTTCTGCAGGCCGAGATTCTCGCCATCATACCAGTTGACCAGGCGCAGCTGGCTCTTGGCCGTGGGCATGGCCTGATTGTAATAGATGCGAAATGCATTGGGACGCGGCCGAGTGATGACCACAGCTCGCATCGGCTGCTCAAAGTTGACGCGCGTCGCATTCGGCGGCTTGCTGGCGCCCCAGTAGAACATGTACAGGCTGAGGCGGTGGGCCAGTCGGCGTTCCTGTATGCGTGCCGATAGCTCATCCGGTTCGTGGAATATCAAATTGACGCACTCGATGGCGCCCAGCAGATTCGCCTCGATGTAGTCGAAGAACAGCTCGGTGTCATAGAAGATGACGGACTTGTAGTAGAGCTTATGCAATCGCTGTATGAAGTCATCCACTTGGATGGTGTCGTTGTTCGCACAGTCCACGCTCAGCCAACGGGAGCTGGGCATGGCCAGTATGGCCAGCTGTCGCGGCTGCAGGCCGTGGATGATCTGCGAGAGTGCTGCAAAAATTCCATTCAATTGAATTGCATTGAATTGCCTTGATCAATTAATTGGCCGCATCTCATTGCGATCCCACCTATTGCCACAACGGACTCGTTGCACGGCCTGTAGCTGAGCAGGGGCCGGGCCAGCGGCCAGTGGATTAGGCACAAGCCGAACAACAGGCTCAAGTGCATGACGAGACTACACAATTCGCCCAAAGTCCTGCGCCACGCCCTTATATAGTGCAACTTATGATAGCCTTTGATTTTTGATGCGCAATTATAGCATCAATGCTTAAATATCACATGTCAAAACCCAGACAGGCAGACAGACAGACAGACAGTTGAAAAGAGCTGACTATCGATTTTCATAATCAAGAAGGCATCGCTGCCTTCAGCTGAACATCATTCGCCCAATGGCCCACAGCGTTGAGTTGGCCAGTTCTCTTTTTTTTTTATCTTTACCATTTTTTAATTGTCAGAAGTTTTCACTCTGCTGTTGACTCTCTCACTCCCTCTCTCTCTCTCTCTTTCACTATCTCCGTCTCTCTCTGTGTAACGATAGATCTTTCAATCGAACCATGATCGTTGCCAGTTGCCGTTGTTGTTGTTGTCGTCAATCTTCTAATGCTATTGACATTAATTCCGTGTTGTGCGCATTTTTCTTTTTACCCATTTGCTATTGCTGCCGCTGCCGCTGCTGCTGCTGCTGCTGCTGCTGCTGCTGCCGCTTTCAGCTCACATGTCAACGCTCCACTTTAATGCGCCAGTCAATGATTTATCGCAATCAACAGTAGCTGCGGCAGCAGCAGCAGCAGCAGAGATTACAAATGTGGTGTATACTTAACTAGTTTGTGGGCTGCCAGCCAGACTACAGCATGATTCTCTAATAAACTAAGGACACAGACGCTCAATATGCAGACTTGTATACATACGCAGTGGCGTAGGGAGGCTGTCGATGATAAGGGGAATGATTCTTATTGAATTTCCCACTTAACCTGTGTATTTGGTGACAGCAGGTAGATCTGATAAAAATAATTTAATATAATAATAAATTAATAAAATTATGTATGCACTGATGGCATTTCATATTTTGTCTACCG